GCCCAGTACATCATGAAGTACGGCCTGAAAAAGGTGGAGAAGGACCCGAATAAGCCGCGGCCGCTGGGCCGCTCGTGAGCAGGGGCGGCAGTTGGGCCGCTCCTGACGAGGTGTGTGATTTCGTACAATTGTTATTGTTGGTGAAACAACATTTCCACCGCCACCCCACTCGTTACCACCGCAGCCCTTCGTTTGGCGGGGATGCCGCCTTTCCACTCTCGCAAGCCCTTGGCGGACATGCCGCCTTGCCTTCATTTGGCGGAGATGCCGCCTTTGCTGCTCATCGCGCTCCGATGCCTCACTTGGCGAGGCGAAGCGCTTGCATAACTCCCTCCTGCTCGAGCGCGTCCTGCCCGAGACCCTACCGCGCGAGCTGTGGCTCGCGAAGGCCAGCGACACCGTTGGGAATCCCATCGATTGGCGGTCGGAGACGAAGCAGAGGCGAAGCAGCTCCTTGGCAGGGGCGGCAGTTGGGCCGCTCATGACGAGGTGTGTGATTTCGTACAATTGTTATTGTTGTTGAAAAAAAACATTTCTTCGTTGCCATCGCCACCCCACTCGTTACCACCGCAGCCCTTCGTTTGGCGGGGATGCCGCCTTTCCACTCTCGCAAGCCCTTGGCGGACATGCCGCCTTGCCTTCATTTGGCGGAGATGCCGCCTTTGCTGCCCACCGCGCTCGCACCGTTCTCTCGCGTTTCCCAATGACATGATCTGCCACCGTCCCACCCCTCATCCGTAGTCTTTGTGGCTCAAGTGGAGCCGCTCGAGGTCGTGCCCCTTCGCGGTCTTGCGCCGCCATGGCGAGCATCGCGGACAAGTACGACGTCGATGACTTCGAGCTCATCACGGGTGGCAGTGCGTGGAGCTGGGCGACCATCGTGGTGCGCTTCATCGAGTGGCGCAATCGTTGCCGCCATGCACGCGCCGTTGGCATCAAGGGCCAGATGCTCATCGACAAGGCGCGGCGCATGATGGAGGAGGCGCGCCGCACCGAGGAGCGCGGCAAGATGCTGTGCCAGATGTCGAAGCAGACGGTGCAGGACATCCCAGGCGGCATTCGGTTCTTCTGCCGCCAGCCGCACCAGGAGAGCTGAGCGGCGATCGGCTGGGCCGATAGAGGAGGATAAGGAGGAAGAGGAGGCAGGATGAGGAGAGGAGGAGGAGGTGGATGAGGAGTTGGAGGCAGCACGCGCACCCGCACTAAGAGCCGCCAGCCGCCGCCGCGCCCGTCCCGCGCTGCGCCCGCCCCGAGCTCGAGCCGCCAGCCGCGCCCGTCTCCGAGCGCTGGCGGCTTGGAACCCGAGCTTGAAACTCAAGCTCGAAATTGCGTGCGAGAAAAAGAAATCTCCCTTGCAAGTTCCGTTGCTACGCTCACTTCGCGCCTCCGCAATCTCCCCCACCCACCCCCCTCCCCCCTCCCCCCTCCCCCCATGCCCCCTCGCCCCCACGCTCTTCGGCGGCTACGCCGCCCCTCCCGACCCTTCAGGCGGCTACACCGCCATGCCCTTCGGCGGCTACTCCGCCCCGCGATCCATTCCCGCCTCCACTTCCGTCTCTCTGGCTGCAATTCGTTTTTCTCAACCGCGCTGGGCCTCGCGCTGCCCCCCGCCCCCGCCCCTCCCGCGCGCGGGCGTCGGCGCAATGGGGAAACGCGCCCTGCAGGTGGACAAGCAGGTGGAGCAGCGGGCTCGACTGCAACAGTGTCTGGCCCTGCGCGGCGTGTCCGCGGCTTTGCTCGAGCGAATCGTGACTGCGCTTGGCCATGGCGACGACGCGGGCGATGCTATAGACGTGAGCGCTCGGGCCATGCAGCGATCGCAGACGGCATCCGTGGCCGATCTCATCAGCGCAGTGCGGCTGCAGCCCAAGATCGGCACGCCTTTCCGATGGAGCGTGGCGCTGCCGCATCGGCTGATGCCGAGGCTCCTGTCGGACTGCCCTCTCTGGAGTTCAATGTTTTGGGAAGCGATGCGCCGTTTCCCTGTGTCGCGCGATCGGCCGTGGAGGCTTTTGCTGTACTACGACGACATTGGCGTGGGCAACGCCTTGAAGAAAGATAATCGTCGGAATCAGCTCGCGGTGTATGCGAGTTTCCTCGAGTTCGGATCCTTCTTGCAGAAGGAGGTTGCGTGGCTGCCGATCGGCACCTTGCGCGTCGTCGTGAAGAAGAGCATCGGCGGCTCGGCCGTGGCGCGGGCATTGCTTCGCGCGCTGTTCCTGGGCCCAGAGAGTCTGTCGGAGCACGGTGCGCCAATCGGCGGCGTGCACTTTTTCGCCAAGTTCCACCGCTTGATTGCAGACGAGGCGGCTGGAAAAGAGACATTCTGCACCAAGGGCGCTGCAGGTCTGAGACCGTGCTTGCAATGCAAGAACGTTGTGCTGGATCAGGCGGAATGTCTTGCAGACTACGACGACGATGATTACCTCGTGCCTCTCTGGTGCGCTGACTCGTCGCGCTTTGACCCGCTGTCGTCAGACGAGTTTTTGCAGCAATATGATGATTTGGCGTCGCTGCGGGACACGACAACCAGAGCGAACATCGAGAGACTGGAGCCAGGGAGGAAAACATTTCCATCGATCCCCTTCTGATGTCCCCCCCTTCCTTCCCTTCTGATGTTCCGGCCCCCGAAGGAGACGGCAATGGGCATCACTCTGGATGACCGTTCTCTGGTGGCGTGCCAGGCGTTGCGGACGGTGGCGCCGCCGAGCACATACGTGAGGGACCCCATGCATACCATGCTGGCCAGCGGCGGGACCTTGCAGGTCGAAATCTTTGCGCTCCTCAAGGCGGTGAGGGATGTCATCCCCGACGCGTGGGGAACGTGGCGGGATCGCTGCTCGGCGTGGCGGACTGGCAGACGCGGCAGGAAACCGCCAGCGTTTCTGTTCAGCGTGGCTCGGAAGAAAGCGACCTGCAAGGCGTCGCACTTCGTGGGCAAGGCGTCGGATTGCTTGGCCGTGTTCCCTTTGATTCGTCATTGGGTGCACACAGAGCTGCGTCCCAGCGGCATGGCGAACGCTGCGGCGCGGTCGTTCGAGGCGATGGCGAAGATGCTCGAATTGTACATGCAGGGCAAAAGGACATGCGGCCGCAGCTGAAACGCAAACGCTGGCCTGCGCGTTCGAGGATGCACCGCGTCGGCCCGCGCGCATCCTCGAGCGCTTAGGTGGCAGGCGGTTCGGCTACGTCCTGAGGATCGGCGCCGTGCCGAATTTGATAGCTGTCTGGACCAAGGCCGTTTCGATTTCCTTGGCGCTGCACAAAGCCGCGCACGGGCCAGCCCTGATCAAGCCGAAGCATCATTATTTGTGGCACGTCCCCGACCAGCCTGCGGAGGACGGCATCTGGTTGGACGCCTTCGTACTCGAGCGGAAGCACAACCTGCTTCGGTCCAGGTCGCAGGAGATCGACAACCCTGAGAATTTCGAGCGGTCGGCCTTGACGGCGATGCTCGCCTGCTTCCTGGAGGAAGCGAAGGAGGCGCCGCGCTCCCGCGCCAAAGCGTGGCGCACGCCAGAGCTGGACAGTACGTTCGGGCACTCGGGGCGCAACCTTGCATGCCCTTTGTGGAGGAAGATGGGCTGGGAGAGGGGAAGGCGGTTTGCCGCCGAGGCGGCTCGCCGCCAGGAGGAGGAGGAGGAGGAGGAGGAGGAGGAGGAGGAGGAGGAGGAACCCCTCCGCAGGGCTGAAACGTGGACCAGCAGAGAGGCGTCCATCGACGGCCAGATGTACGGCAGCCAGGACAGACGGCGCAACCAACCTTGGTATTTAGGGGTGCACATGCGTGTGCCCCCCCAAAAATCGAGGCGTTGCTGCCCTCAGGATTTTCTCCTGGGCGACGGCGAGGCGTACATCGTGCATTGCTGCGCGCAGGCTGGCGCCGCCAGCTACCTGCTGGTGGAGACCCTGGAATGGGTGCGCGCGCCATGCCCAGGCGCGTCCCTGTGGCGGCCGCGCGGCGACGTCGCCGTGATGCCCGCCGAGCTGATCCCGCCAGCCTGGGCGGCTTATCGGCGACTACAGGACGATGGCTATGTGCTCGCCATCACGTGAAAAAGGAAAAAACGAGCGCATGCGAGAGCGGATATGCCGCTGGCGGATGCGCCGCCCTTCGATAGAGAGGTGCAGGAGGGAGGGGCGGATATGCCGCCGAAGAAGGAAGGCGGGCTCGGGGAGGGAAGGCGGCAGGAGGGAGCGGGGGCGGGCTGGCCGCCGACAACGAGGAGAGGAGAGGGGAGGCGGTGATGGCCGCCGAGGGGAGGCAGTTTGAAGAATAGTTGATCCCCCCCCCTCTCCCTCTCCCCCCTTCCCCTCCGCGCCCCGCAGGCGTCCTGAGGGCGGCTCGGCGCGTCGACCTGCGGCGCCCTGTCCTGAAAAACTGTTGTGTTGTAGTTGTTAAAACGTTTTTTGTGTTTTTTCCCGAAACATAGCAATATCAAGAACAAACATGCAAAACATAGAAAGTTATGCAAATTTCGGGTTAACCGAATCGGACAGCCCACATCGACTTAGCTGACTTAGCTACTAAGTTGGGTATGTTGAGGTGTATGTATCGATATATCTTGGCAGTGGTACCCGATAGCTCAGTTGATAAGATGGATGGTTCTGTGAGTAGTATGTATGGTATGTTGTTGAATATACTTATCTAACAAAACGTTAAGTAGATGAATGCGAAGTTCGATATTTTATATATGTTGAATATGTGAGGTCAACTAGCATGAACCTACATACATCTTCGTTGAAACGATTTCATCGGATATACAACGCTCTTACCGCACTTACACCCACCCGACGATCAAAGAGGGGGAGGCAGCTGAGCTTCCAGGGCGCCTCCGGGGAGGCATCTCGGAGCGGCCTGGGGCAGCCTCGGAGCCGCGCGGGAGTCGACCAGAGCTTGCTGGGGCGCCCGGGAATGCTCCAGAGGGGCCGGCCCGCGGCCACTGCTTAACCATTTGGCTAGCGGTGAACGCCGCATTGTAGTAGGGATGGCTTTGGGCTTCAGCTTCGCCTCCCACATCTCGCTCAGCAGCGCCAGCGCCCGCTGCCATTGCTCGCCCTTCTCGCACGCGCTGATCCCAGCGTTGTAGCTGATAACGTTGGGCTCCAGCTTCGCCTCCCGCATCTCGCTCAGCAGCGCCAGCGCCCGCTGCCACTGCTCGCCTTTCTCGCACGCGTTGATCCCAGCGCTGTAGCTGATAACGTTGGGCTCCAGCTTCGCCTCCCGCATTTCGCTCAGCAGCGCCAACGCCCGCTGCCACTGCTCGCCCTTCTCGTACGCGCTGATCCCAGCGCTGTAGCTGACTAGGGCTGACCCGTGGACTCCGTCCACTTGCGGGGTGGAGGGAGTACTGCTGGAAGGCGCTCTCGGAGGCTTCATGGCCGCCGCTTGTTGTGCTGAGTGCTGCCTGCTGCTACTCGCTGCTGTTTGCTTTGTCGTTCTTCTGCTGCCGCCTGCGGTTTGACTGGTGTGGGCTGCTGCTTGCTACGGCTTGGTGCTGCTGCTAGCTTTTTGCCTGGTGCTGGATGTTGCTGCATGCTGCATGATGCTGAATGACGCTTGCGTTGTCAACGCGTGCTGCTGATGCTGCACGGCTCTTTAGTGTCTGCGAAATGCCTGTCGCCTCTCGTCCGCTCCCACCCTCCTGGAGGCAATTCTGAAACCACTTAGGGCCTCGTGGGGGCCGTTTCGGAGCCACTTGGGGTCTTCTGGGCCTCCCGGGGAGGCTCTTAGGGCCCTCTTGGGCCGTCTTGGGTGCCTCTTGGGCCGTCTTGGGGCCAGCTGAGGCCGGCTTGGGCGCCTCTTGGGCTGTCCTGGGCCGTCTCGGGCCGCTCTTGGGGCCGTCTTGGGTGCCTCTTGAGCCGTCTTGGGCGCCTCCTGGGCCGTGCTGGGGCCGTCTTGGGGAGTCGTGGGGCCGTCTTGGGGCCCTCTTGGCCCGTCTTCGGGCTCTCTTGGGGCCCTCTTCGGCCGTCTTGGAGCTGTCTGGGGGACCTCTGGGACCGTCTTGGAGCGTCGGGAAGCCGAAAAGGCGAGGAGGCCGAAAACATAGAAAAACACAATGGAAATCATAGATTTTTGCCACTCGGGACCCTCTCTTGGGGCATCTTGGAGACCTCCGGAGCCGTCTTGGGCCAATCTTGAGCGTCTTGGGCTCATTTTTGGGCGTGCCGGGGCCCTCTGGGGCCATCTTGAAGGTCTCTTGGGGCCTTCCTTGGCGCGTCTTGGAGCGTCTCGGAGCGCGCCGGGGCCTGCTGGGGCCCGTCTTGGGGCACTCTTGGCCCGTCGGCTCTCTTGGGGCCCTCTTCGGCCGTCTTGGAGCGGTCTGGGGGACCTCTGGGACCGTCTTGGAGCGTCGGGAAGGCGAAAAGGCGAGAAGGCCGGAAACATAGAAAAACACAATGGAAATCATAGATTTTTGCCACTCGGGGCCCTGTTGGGAGGCCTCTTGGGAAGCCTCTTGGGGCGTCTTGGAGACCTCTGGAGCCGTCTTGGGCCAATCTTGAGCGTCTTGGGCTCATTTTTGGGCGTGCCGGGGCCCTCTGGGGCCATCTTGAAGGTCTCTTGGGGCTTTCCTTGGCTCGTCTTGGAGCGTCTCGGAGCGCGCCGGGGCCTGCTGGGGCCCGTCTTGGGGCCCTCTTGGCCCGTCTTGACGCTCTCCTGGGGGCCTCTTCGGCTGTCTTGGAGCGGTCTTGGGGACCTCTGGGGCCGTCTTGGAGCCTCGGGAAGCCGAAAAGGCGAGAAGGCCGAAAACACAGAAAAACACAATGGAAATCATAGATTTTTGCCACTCGGGGCCCTGTTGGGAGGCCTCTTGGGAGGCTTCTGGGGCCGTCTTGGAGACCTCTGGAGCCGTCTTGGGCCAATCTCGAGCGTCTAAGCCCATCTTTGGGCGTGCCGGGGCCCTCCGGGGCCCTCCGGGGCCGTCTTGGTGGCCTCTCTGGGCCGTTTTGGCGTGTCTTGGGGCCTCCCGAGGCGGCCCGGGGCGGCCCGGGGCCAGCCTGCGGCCGTGAGTGCCTGACCTTCTCGCACGCGCTTTCACCCGCCATGTAGGAGAGATGGCGTCATGCTCTAGCTTCGCCTCCCGCATCTCGCTCAGCAGCGCCAGTGCCCGCTGCCACTGCTCGCCTTTCTCGCACGCGCTGATCCCAGCGTTGCAGCTGATGACGTTGGGCTCAAGCATCACCTCCCGCATCTCGCTCAGCAGCGCCAGCGCCCGCTGCCACTGCTCGCCCTTCTCGCACGCGCTGACCCCAGCGTTGTAGCTGATGACGTCGTGTTCCAGCTTCGCCTCCCACATCTCGCTCAGCAGCGCCAGCGCCCGCTGCCATTGCTCGCCCTTCTCGCACGCGCTGATCCCAGCGTTGTAGCTGACTAGGGCAGACCTGTGGACTCCGTCCACGACATCAGCTCGACGTGGCGAGGGGTCTCTGGGCAAGCGCGAGGGGGTGCGGCTGCAGGGCCGAAAGGCAATCATGATAGCGTCGGGCTCCAGCTTCGGAGGTCCTGCTGCTTCCTCCCCCTCCTCCTCCTCCTCCTCCGCCTCCTCCTCCTCCTCTTCCACCTTCTTCTCCTCTTTCGCTGGATTCTCCATGCCCTCGGTCGGCAATCGTCGATCTCACGACGACTCTCCCCAACAGAGAAACATCGAAGGCCCTCGGGGCGTCCAACATTGTTCTTTTGTGCCTTCGATATGCCGATCGCCTCTCGTCCGCTCCCCCCCTCCTGGAAGCAATTCTGAAGCCACTTAGGGTTTCGTGGGGGCCGTTTGGGGATCTCTTGGGGCGTTTTTGCCTGCGATATGCCTGTCGCCTCTCGTCCGCTCCCCCGCTCCTGGAGGGAATTCTGAAGCCACTGAAGGCTTCGTGGGGGCCGTTTCGGAGCCTCTTCGGCCTTCTTTTGGGCCTCCCGGGGGGGCTCTTAGGGCCCTCTCGGGCCGTCTTGGGTGCCTCTTGGGCCGTCTTGGGGCCGTCTGAGGCCCGCCTCGGCGCCTCTTGGACTGTCTTGGGCCGTCTTGGGCAGCTCCTGGGGCCGTCTTGGGTGCCTCTTGGGCCGTCTTGGGCGCCTCCTGGGCCGTCCGGGGGCCGTCCTGGGGCGTCTGGGCACCGTCTGGGGGCCCTCCTGGCCCGTCTTGGGGCTCTCTTGGGGTCCTCTTCGGCCGTCTTGGAGCGTTCGGGGGGACTTCTTGGGCCGTCTTGGAGCGTCGGGAAGCCGAAGAGGCGAGGAGGGCGAAAACATCGAAAAACACAATAGAAATCGACGATATCTGTCGCTCGGGGCCCTCTTGGGAGGCCTCTTGGGAGGCCTCTTCGGGCGTCTTGGACGCCTCTTGGGCCGTCTGGGGCGAATCTCGGGCGTCTTGGGCCCATCTTTAAGCGTGCCGGGGCTCTCCGGGGCCGTCTTGGGGGCTTCTGGGGGCCCTCTCGACATGTCCTGGAGCCTGCCTGGGCGGCCCTGGGCGGCCCGGGGCCAGCCCGGGGCGGTTTCGGTGCATTGGGGCCTGCGCCATTCTGGCACGCACTGGGCCCTGCAATGTAGTAGAGATGATGTTGGGCTCCAGCATCACCTCCCGCATCTCGCTCAGCAGCGCCAACGCCCGCTGCCACTGCCCGCCCTTCTCGCACGCGCTGATCCCGGCGCTGTAGCTGACCAGGGTGCACTTGTGGACTACGTCCACTTGCGAAGTGATGGGGCGCTGCCGTCAGGCGATCACGATGGATGGCGTCAGGTTCGCCTTCCACATGTCGCCGAGCAGCTTGAGCGCCGCCTGATTGGGGAGCATGGGAAATGAGGGGGTTCGATCGGGCCATGTGCAAAACGCATTGGGAACGGAGGCGCGATGGAGCAGCCGGGGGAGAAGAACATGGATGTCTTCCCATCCACCTCATTATCCTTCTGTTGCTCCTGTTCCTCCTCCTCCTCCGTTTCCGTTTCCGTCTCCTCCTCCTCCTCCTCCTCCTCCTCCTCCTCATCCTCCTATTCCTCCTCCTCCTCCTGCTCCTCGTCCTCCTCCTCCTCCTCCTCCTCCTCTTCCTCCTCCTCCTCCTCCTCCTCCTCCGCCTGACTCCCTCATCCTTCCCAGTGCCCTCCTGATCATCCTCGTCACCCTCATCCTGTCCCTCATCTTCCTTTTCATTTTCCTCTCCTTCGGGTTCTCCCGCCTGTCCCTCTGCAGCGTTGGAACGTAGCGCGACAACACCCTTCGGCAAGGCGTCAGAAAATGCCGTTGCGTCGAAGGCGTCGGCAGGGCCCAGTCTCGCGGGGTCTTCCTAGGCCTCTCTCGGGGCTCTCTTCGAAGTTCCTGAGATCTTCTTGGCCTCCTTTGGGAAGCTCCTCGCGGCTTCAAGGCCGTCTCGGTAAGGGCCTCGAGGGCGCCAGGACGGAACCAAAAAGAGCTTCGTGGTGTTCGTTTTGAGGGGCGCTCAGAACGAACAGAGTGCGGCCTCTCGCGGGGCCTTCCTGCGCCTCTGTCGGGGCTCTCTTCGAAGTTCCTGAGATCTTCTTGGGCTCCTTTGGGAAGCTCCTCGCGGCTTCAAGGCCGTCTCGGTAGGGGCCTCCGGGGCGCCAGGACGGAACCAAAAAGAGCTTCGTGGTATTCGTGCTTAGGGGCGCTCAAAACGAACAGAGCGCGGCCTCTCGCGGGGTCTTCCTAGGCCTCTCTCTGGGCTTTTTTTCGAAGTTCCTGAGATCTTCTTGGGCTCCTTTCGGGGGCTCCTCGCGGTTTCAAGGCCGTCTCGGGAGGGGCCTCGAGGGCGCCAGGACGGAACAAACCAGAGCTTCCAGGTGTTCGTTGTGAGGGGCGCTCAAAACGAACAGTGCCCAGCCCCTGGTGGGGCCTTCCCAAGCCTCTTTCGGGGCTCTCTTCGAAGCGTCTGAGATCTTCTTGGGCTCCTTTGGGGGGGCCCTCCCGGCTTGAAGGCCGTCTTGGTAGGGGCCTCGAGGGCGCCACCACGGAACCAAAAAGAGCTTCGTGGTGTTCGTTTTGAGGCGCGGCCTCTCGCGGGGTCTTCCTAGGCCTCTCTCGGGGCTCTCTTCGATGTTCCTGAGATCTTCTTGGCCTCCTTTGGGGGGCTCCTCCCGGCTTCAAGGCCGTCTCGGTAAGGGCCTCGAGGGCGCCAGGACGGAACCAAAAAGAGCTTTCCAGGTGTTCGTTTTGAGGGGCGCTCAAAACGAAGAGTGCGCGGCCTCTCGCGGGGCCTTCCTAGGCTTCTCTCGGGGCTTTTTTCGAAGTTCCTGAGATCTTCTTGGGCTCCTTTCGGGGGCTCCTCGCGGTTTCAAGGCCGTCTCGGGAGGGGCCTCGAGGGCGCCAGGACGAAACAAAACAGAGCTTCCAGGTGTTCGTTTGAAGGGGCGCTCAAAACGAACAGTGCCCAGCCCGTGGTGGGGCCTTTCCAGGCCTCTCTCGGGGCTCTCTTCGAAGCGTCTGAGATCTTCTTGGGCTCCTTGGGAGGGTCCTCCCGGCTTGTAGGCCGTCTTGGTAGGGGCCTCGAGGGCGCCAGGACGGAACCACAAAGAGCTTCGTGGTGTTCGTTGTGAGGGGCGCTCAAAACGAACAGAGCGCGGCCTCTCGCGGGGCCTTCCTGCGCCTCTGTCGGGGCTCTCTTCGAAGTTCCTGAGATCTTCTTGGGCTCCTTTGGGAAGCTCCTCGCGGCTTCAAGGCCGTCTCGGTAGGGGCCTCCGGGGCGCCAGGACGGAACCAAAAAGAGCTTCGTGGTATTCGTGCTTAGGGGCGCTCAAAACGAACAGAGCGCGGCCTCTCGCGGGGTCTTCCTAGGCCTCTCTCCGGGTTTTCTTCGAAGTTCCTGAGATGTTGTTGGGATCCTTGGGGAAGCTCCTCGCGGTTTCAAGGCCTCGAGGGCGCCAGGACGGAACCAAACAGAGCTTCCAGGTGTTCGTTTTGAGGGGCGCTCAAAACGAACAGTGCCCAGCCCCTGGCGGGGCCTTCCCAGGCCTCTCTCGGGGCTCTCCTCGAAGCGTCTAAGATCTTCTTGGGCTCCTTTGGGGGGGCCCTCCCGGCTTGTAGGCCGTCTTGGTAGGGGCCTCGAGGGCGCCAGGACGGAACCAAAAAGAGCTTCGTGGTGTTCGTTGTGAGGGGCACTCAAAACGAAGAGTGCGTGGCCTCTCGCGGGGTCTTCCTAGGCCTCTCTCGGGGCTCTCTTCGAAGTTCCTGAGATCTTCTCGTGCTCCTTTGGGGAGCTCCTCGCGGCTTCAAGGCCGTCTCGGTAGGGGCCTCGAGGGCGCCAGGACGGAACCAAAAAGAGCTTTCCAGGTGTTCGTTTTGAGGGGCGCTCAAAACGAAGAGTGCGCGGCCTCTCGCGGGGTCTTCCTAGGCCTCTCTCTAGGCTTTCTTCGAAGTTCCTGAGATCTTCTTGGGCTCCTTTGGGGGGCTCCTCGCGGTTTGAAGGCCGTCTCGGGAGTGGCTCGTTTCCCAGAGGAAATGCCTCTTTTCCCCTCCTCAGACGCTTCTGCCGGCGCGTGTTGGAGTATCGTGGGCGCGAGGGGGAGGCTGTTGAGCTTCCAGGGCGACTCTGGGGAGGCATCTCGGAGCGTCTCGGAGCGGCCTGGGACAGCCTCGGAGCCGCGCTGGAGTGGACCAGAGCTTGCTGGGGCGCCCGGGGAGGGCTCCGGAGGGGCCGGCCCGCGGCCACTGCTTAACCATTTTGGCGAGCGGTGAACGCTGCATTGTAGTAGAGATGACGTCGGGCTCCAGCTTCGTCTCCCACATCTCACTGAGCACTGATAACGCGTGTTGCCATTGCCCGCCTTTCCTGCATGCGCTGACAGTCGCAACGTAGTGGCTTGGGACGAGTTGCACACCTAATTGAATTCCTTCGCGGAGCAATCGAAGTGCGGCGCTCCATTGTTTTGTCAGGCCGCAGTTCTTGATCGACGCTTCGAGGGACATAACGACTTCTTGAGACTATCCAGAACGACATGGCCCCGGGGCTTGTGCCAAACTGGCTTGAGCCAAACTGGCTTGGGCCAAAATTGCTTGAGCCAAAATGGCTTGGGGCGGAGAGAGAGAGAGAGAGAGAGAGAGACAGGGGAGAGGGTGGGGGGGGGAGGAGAGGAGAGGAAGAGGCGGGATGAGGACGGTTGGAGGGAGGGAGGTGGAGGGGGAGGGAGGGAGCAGGGGAAGGGGTGGGAGAAGACAGGGAAGGGGGGGGGAAGAGTCCCGAGCACCCCTCCCCGTGTGACTGCACCTTGGGGCCCCCAGACGCCCCCGCCCCCGGTGACTTCACCTCTTGCCATCTCTGGGACATCCAACAACCGTGCATTGCGATAGCGGCTGTCACCAGCCCCGGCCGCCACCCTACCCCCCCAAGTCAACGTCACGATTAATTGCTGACCTCCCAGCTGTCTTTGTTTTTTAA